CTGGAAAAGATGTCATGCCTATTTTAAGATAGTGTATAAATAAAAAGCATACAATAGATCTCAGTGAAACAAAGCTCAGCAACCATATTAAGTTTGTCTTAACATTTGCTCATTTACATCTTGTAACTCAAGTCAATTTACTACAGTGACACAAAGAATAAAACTGATCTTATTGTACAAAGGTATCAGTCAGGAGATGCGTATAAATAAAACTGAGTGTTATGCACATGAAACCAGGTATCTAAATGCACTATGTAAGAAGACACATGAAACGTTTTGTATAATCTGACTGTGTCCGAATTGATGACCTAAAATCGCTCTATTTGTCTAATACCAGAATGACGCTTTAGAGAATTTTTTTAAACTATATGATTCAGAATCAGAGCTATTTGAAGAGAGCTGTGGATAAGCAATATCTCCATAATCTGATAGATTTGAAGCACTTTTGCAAAGCACAGTGGCAAAAAATAAAAGCTATTTCAAAATGTTGGATGCTGTTACGAGTTCTATCGAAGAAAATGAGAAGCATGAACTGAATCAAAAGGTAATTTGAACACTTATGCAACCAATTTTTTTGAGCTTTTATATTTCATATTTTTATTTTACTGTCAAACAAATGTGTTTGGTGTTCAGTTGAAGGCTGAAAAAAATATTAAAACGATTAATATTGTTTTTACATCACAAATGCCCGTCTTATAAGGAGGATTTTTTTATATAACCACGGACTGAAAATTCTAAAATTACTATTGATTATCAGTGTGACTGTTATATAATATTTGACTATAACTGTAAAGTTAGCAAGACAAAAACATTTTACAATTGTACCATTGTTTGTAGATTCTTCATTGTTGTGCAGGAAGCCTGAAAGATTGTAGATTAATTATTCCAGTTTCAGTCTCCTCATATCTCCTGCAATTCCACTTTTAAGTCATTAAATACTGCAAGAATTGCAATTTGTTTTTTTTTTATTTCTTAATTTTTGAGAAAATTAAGAAATAATTATTCTTAATTTTCAGAGGAAAAGACCAGGTAAAGACAATTACTCATGAATGAAGATAAATGGAAAAATGTACCAGTGTACACTCAGAATGGAGATGGTGAAACATATTAATGAGATCACCAACTTTGGTCCTCTAATTCCCTCCATCTATCCTTATCCACTGCATAACTAATTTAGCTGTATTAACCTAAAATCCCCAGCCATGGCGACTACAGTTCAGTTCATCCAATGCTCGCTGCACCATCAAGCGTGTGCATGAGCGTTTCTGCCCATGAGTGGGTGGCACTTCCCTCAGTGTAGCCACTCTTTTTTCTCTGGCATTGAACTTGACCTGGAGCGACCCTTCTATAATGAGTGAATTGAAAACATCTCCCTTTGGAGTGTTGCGTGTGAAGAGAGGAGGCCATAGCTGAGCTCATGACCCCTGCTCTCTCCTCTGTTTATGTGTGTTCTCTGTGAACAAATACAAACTTAGTTTTTATCCTACCTGTAAATTTCTTGGAGGCGTAGGGCCAGTTCCAGCTTTTAATTCGAAGTGAGTTTATTATACCTGGCAAAAGTATTCGATGCACTTGAAAAATTTATTTTTTACTTTGTCACTTTGCACCCACAATTTTTTTTTTCCAAATACCTATTCCACCTCTGATAACATGGTTCACAAATTATTCCTAAGTACAGTTTCTGTACTTCCAAGCCCAGGCAAACCGATTTTATTATGGTGTTTGTGCTGATAAAGAAATATCTTATTATTCCTTTACGATGGCGGAGCGATTTATATCCATCACAACTTGGATAAAAGTTGGTACGATTTTTAAAATGTGAGAAGTTGCTTGTGTAGGCATGTGCATCAAAAATAAATGTAAAAGAAAGATAAATAAATAATTCCAAACTTGACGGAGTGTGACGTTGAGCCGTGTTTGATCTTAATCTTGATCTATCATCCGAAGTCGCCGTCACCATCCATCACACACGTACACATACAAACTTATGTGTAAGGGGGAGGGGCTGGTGACAGTGCTCTGAGGGAGGTCTCATAAATAATAAACAGGACTAGAGAGGTCCAGGTAAGGAAGCATGTGGACACACACACACATACGCACATCTTCCTTATAACCTGGCTCTCCTGCTGCCCTCGCCCTCCTCTTCCTGCAGCCTGCATGTTTATGCATGAAACCCTGTTTCATATGTATCGGCCACATCATTCCCCTTGTTGTCACGGGAACTGATGACACAGGCTGCATTAAGAATGATGTCCCGCCTACAGATTACTGTGCTGTTGGTACACATACACACATTCTGGTACGCACAAAGAAAAGCACACAAACAAGCACCTAGATACAAGTACACACACGGAGAGATTTACCACGCACAGTGACTGATGGTGAAAACATTTCCCAGTGGGACATGATAACACCAGCACGGCAGCCGAGCATCTGAAGTGTAACACAAACAATAAATAAATACTGTGAATACATTTTAAAAAAGAGAAGAACAAAAGATGCCGGCCAGTCAAAACAACCCCCCACACATGTAACCCCACTCTAACCTCGGCTAGTAAACCACAGCACGATACAACATGATGCATTTATGCAGAAAACTGCTGCTTTTTCTGACAATTTACAATGCAGCGAAAACACCGACGTGTGGGCAAAACTGACTAATATATACTGACAGATGCACAAAAAAAGAGACATGGAGAGATACTGAGGCAGGCTCCTGTAAATAAAGCCCAATTTATTTACCAGCTTCTCAAAAGAAAAAAATCCAGTGGTTTCACCATCCCTCTGCCACGGGTATTTGGGACCTGGCAAGCACTGCCACTAATTCTTCCATTTTCTGTTTTATTTATGCGAACCGTATTCTTCGGGCAAAAAGAAAAATAATCCATAAATTCACCAACATTTATTATTTGGTAAAACTGTCCTTTAAATGCGTTGACTCTGTTGAAGTTTTAAACTTTACCCAACTGCTACCGTTTGGCTGTGATGTATGTAATGCAACAGTTTGACGCTATGAATCTTGCTCCAAATTGCGTGCTCTACACCACCATCCTCCACTGCGAAGAGAGAAATGCCAAGCTGAACAAGATGACTATGAATAATAATTCATTAATTGGAAGCGCCGCTAACGTAGACTGAACATATCTAAAAACTACAGAGACTACAATTCCAAAACATTCCAGAAAATTGATGTCATTGTTCACAACATATCCTTCTGTTTGTTGATTAGCATGACAAACTCTCTTCACTGTGGGTAGTGACACTTTCTTGCCAGCTTTAAACAGCATCCTTTCCTTTTGTTCTGGGATTTACAACTTCAGGGAAATAGAGTCCACCTCCCTCCTGAACAGCATGATGGCTGCACATTCCCAACCTGTTAATACTTAAATGTAATTGTTTGAATATATGAGTGTTGCATTTTCAGAAATTCAGAAATTGAATCTAAGCATGAACCAGATTTGTGGAGGTCCATCACTCTCTTTGTGAGATCTTGGCTGATTTCTGTTGATTTTTCCATGATATCACACAGAGAGGATTTGTGTTTAGGGTAAAATACATCCACATGTGTGTCTCCATTTAACCAAATTGTTTAAAGGCATAGCACTCAGTCTTTGGGTAAACCGCTGACTTGAAAGAAATTAACAAACCTTTTCTCTCCAGCATTTTCACAATTATTTTTTTCTGAAATGTAGTTACTACGAACATTTCGGTAATCCTAACTAGAACAAGAAATATTTAGATTTCCATACATCCATCCATTATCTTGGACTCTTTTCCTTGCAGGGTTGCCAGGGGCTGTTGTCCATCACCATGGCGAGAGGCGTGGCACGCCCTGGACAGGTTGCCAGTTCACCGCAGGGCAACACAGAGACTGACACAAGACTGACAACCATGCAAAAAGTTTTTTTTTTTTTTTTTTTTTTTTTTTTTTTTGAGGGTATGTGGGTTTCTGGGTTTTTGCAAATAAAATGTGAACTGGTAGTTCTAACAAACTGAATGTCAGCTGCTGAAACACTGGTATTAATGCCCCATTTTCAGTGAAACCATAATTGTATTACAATCCAGTCGCTCATCTCCAGTGATCAGAGTCTCTGATACCGGCACTTTTTAAAACGAGGTCTCAGAGTAAATCTTTTGAGTGCAGAAAGCATGGCTGCAGGGTTTGTTCTACGCATTCAAGGCTGAAGTCATTTCTGATTCTACACATCATTTCTATGATTTTTTTTTCTCCTTTCACTCAACTTTCCATTTTATACTATTGTTTCTTTATACCACACACAGTCAGCTTCTTTTGTAAATTTATTTTGTAACTTGAGCAACTTCTTGGGAGTGCCAATGTCAACTGTACAGCTTTTCCAATTATCGTGTTAAAATCTTTTATAATGTTAGAATTTTCTGAACAACTGAGTTTGGGTTTATCCTTACGTGTATGCCATAAACGTCAAATATACTGCTCAAAAAACATAAAGGGAGCATTTCACTTTAATTTTGTGTGTAGCTCCAAATCCAGGCCTCCATTGGTTAATAAATTTGATTTCCATTGATGATTTTTGTGTGATTTTGTTGTCAACACATTCAACTTTGTACAGAACAAAGTATTCAATGAGAATATTTCATTCATTCAGATCTAGGATGTGTTATTTGAGTGTTCCCTTTATTTTTTTGAGCAGTGTATAACAGATATAAATGCTTGGTATAAGTTAGTCTATAATAAATCTATATAAATTTTACAAAGCCATGAATATTGATACATTTCTGTGCTTGCAGTGTTGTGGGAGCATGGTAGTGGTGCACTTCCTGTTCTTTTTATTAAAGAACGTGTGTTAAAGTTAATGAAACTGATAACTGGTAGTTAACAGCTCAGTTTTTTGTTTTTTCAATAATGGTGTGTATGTGTGTGTTGTCCATGCAGACTGCTTCCTTATTTTTTTTCTAAACAGAAACAGAAAAAAACGGAGGTGTGTGTATGTGTTGTGTTTCACACTTGCTGTCACTCGTACTCATGATGAAGATTTTTTTTCTTCTTTCATCCTTTGTAGTCGACGTGAAACGACAACTGACCCGTCTTTCTTTAACCTCTTCTTTTCTTATTTCAAAAGATGGTTCTGTCGGAAGAAGAGAATACATAGTATATATATATATTGTAGACAAAAAAAAAACAAAAATCAAAAAACAACATGAATAATTTATACCTTGCAATGCATATCTGCAAGCATTTCCATATCAAATAAATATTATATCTGGTCTTATGACTTTGTTTTATGCTTTGAATACTCAATCACTCTAAAGAATTCCTTATATTAATGTAGGATGGTCTCTGTCTCGTGTCATGATCAAATGACTGAGGGTTTCAAACAGAGGGAAGTTAAAGGCTTCCAGGAGATTGAAAATAAATTGAGGATGGCTTTGAGTAGTTCAAATTTAATCTTGCTTGGTCAAGATGGATGAGTTACCTGCAAAAAGATGACATCATTTCAGAACTAAATACACTGTCACCATTTGACTTTAGACAGTTTATAAAGCAGCTCTAATGACTTCGGTTTCTCAGTGCAAGCAAGTGAATGTGAATTTTTTTTTATCTTTATATTGTCAATATTAATTTTAGAAGAAGTGGAGATTCCCTTGAAATAAGTGTCTGAACAATGGAGCGAGTGGAGCAGTTCTCCATTTTTTTTAAATTGTGGGAACAAACTCATGTTTCTGCTCTCCCACTTCTAACGTATCTGATCATTCCCTGCAGTCCCTCCTTCACCTCGTAGTTGATTCAATCAATCTCACTGAATCAAGCTTGCTTCACCCTCAGTGTGATCTCTTCAGACGGACAGTTTACAGCAAGAAACAAGTACGTTGAATTGAACTGAATTTCAATCAGTTTTTTATGTGATAAAACAATGTCGCATTCCCCTAACTCACCATAAATATGATAAAATAGAGTAGAAAACTTGGCATTGTAGTTGCAGGCTGCAGGTTCCTCAGACCCAATCTGTAACATGCGAGTGTTTCTCCTCAGATGCAATGAATTCTTCAAACTAGCTTAATAATGACTTAACAAAGAAGCAGGATCTCTGGCACAAAAGGAGAATGTGTTGAATGAACAACACTTCTATACTGCACAGGGGTCGCCAGGGCAATCGTAATAGATTACTGTGCCGGTTATGTCCCCATTTTGTAGATTTTCACACAGTGGGAGTAGTGCTCACCAAAAAGGACGAGGGGTAGGATAGAATACGAAAGCATATACATTTTACAAGCAGACGCATAATGGAATATGAATAGAAATATTTATTGCAAAGTGTTACATGCACTTATAACAATGCCTAAAGGAGGCAAGGGAGTTTGGAAAAGGCTGAACGATGTCTCTAATTGTTAGATATAATCTTAGGTTTTACTTATCTTTTCTTTTGTTCAGGTTATCTCGTCTTCTACACCACCAAAAATACATTTGACTCTTGTCTCCTTTCTTCAACCTTTGGTGTAGCCTCAACAAATATTTGTTTGATTCTGATGATTTTTTTTTTCCTAAAAATGAGTAAACTAACACATAAATATCTCTTGCACTGTTCTGCCTTTAAACCTTTTTTTTTTCTTTCCGTTTCCCTTTGTAACCTCTATACCTATTTCCACTTGGCTTTCTATCAAAGAATAAACAATGTGGGCCCAATGCCAGTAAACACATTTGAACCTGGATGCTTGCTTGTCAGTGTCTAGGGCCTTATTACATGTCCATGTGTGTGTTTCTGAGGTCTGTTAAAAAGCAGACTTGTGCCTGTGAGAAAACTTCCCTTTTCACTCAAACCTTTTAGACGATAACATGATAGCTTTCCTCGAGAAAATTATGTCCCTCTTTCTCTAGCAGAAGTGCACTCACAAATATGGCACTTTGTTTACTCTTACTTTTAACTCTGCAATTATTTTGTAAATATACATATAGATTTAGAAGACTTGTGGTTTTGACTGTTATCTATTTCGGCGTGTATGTCTATGTGTGTGCAGAAAGGGCATTGGGGTGCAATGGGGGTGTAAGAGATCAAAGATGCTACAACCCTGCCTTCTGCTGGTCAATGAGTAATTCTCACTTGCACACGCTTTGGAAAAACTCTGAATACTTTTAATATTTATGAGCTGAGACGGTTGAAAAAAAAATTGCTCGGGTTGTCATGTTAACCTGACAAAGAGAAAGCAAAACAAGGAGACTTTAATGGAGATAGTAGTTAACTTACAGGTCTCTCAATACTCCTAGTGTATATTTCAAACTAAAACAACAGTAAATTCTCCAGGGCTTGCGAATGTGGAGTCCAGAAACTTTTATATGCAAGTCACAGCAGAATTCAAGTGGACACATTACACTCAAAACCAACACAGAGCTCCCAATTCACATCAAGTAGGTGGCCAAAGCTCACATTTAAATTTAATGTTTGGCAAAAAGTATCAGACTGCATGTTGTAACAGAAGCAAACTGTGAATACCTAAAGTTATTTTATAAACTTAGTTGTGGCAAAATGTTGAGGTTGTGCACGATTTATGTATCACTTAAACATAAAAACAAAACAGGGCAGAACTTCTATATTCAAATAACCCAACACCACAAAAACAGGCTATGAAATGGTAAACACTAAGTGCGACACTAAAAAAACTTTAAAACCTTGTGACGGTCTCCGATGCTTTGTCATATATGTAAAAGTCTTCTGTTCTAAATACTAGTTTAAGTAATACAAACACATGTGCATCCTCGCCTAAATGACAGAGATGGTATTTTTCATTCCACCAGCATGAACCCAAATGTGACATCTGTACTTTCATATTTTGAATGCATAGTGAATATTGACCAAAATATATACTTCATGCTGTAAAATACATACTTTTTTTCCCTGCTAAATAATTGTTCCATTTATAGGAACATTTTGAAAAGTGATTGACCAGTCCTCTGTTTTATCTTCTCTCTAAGGAAGGAAAAACTGTACTTGAAAGCAAGACATCTGGAGTTGAAACATCACCGGCTTCAGTTTCCCTGTTATCTATTTCTACTCATATCGTTTCAGAGAATAGGTGGATAGGCAAGATGAAGTAAATAAAGACAGTTATGAAGTGATAATCACTATGATAGGAGGGATAAAGAGTGGAGATGAATATAGCATATGAGGAGAAGAGAGCACTGATTAGACCTGGCTCAGGAGATGTCAGTGTTAATTACCTCCTCCTCATACACCTGCACGACATTCAAACCACAGAAATGCTGATAATGTTGTAATATCACACCCACAAAGACAAACTACACTTGTTGCCTTAGATGTTATCGCTTCTGGGAAGCAGTTCAGCTGTAAATTGCATCTGTGTCCCTATTTTTTTAAATGCTAGAAATAATGTAAAGCAACTCTGTATTTTTGTTGTCTAGGGAGCGCTTTTCATGGTTTTGTTTACCATGCAAATTGCTCTGCAGCTATTAGCTATTTGTGTTTTTATGTTACTCAGACAAACATCTGATTAACTTTTAGCCCGTACCCCGGGTAGACTGGAAAATAAAACCACTTACCTTTACAATGAGGAAAGACTGCTAATATTCAGTCATATTCAATAAATTGGAATATTATTCAAAACCTTAATTTTATTCAGCAACTTAATTCACAAAATGTAAACCTGTCTATATAATTCAGGCTCTGTGTAGATTTGATAAAATCCCAAATAAATTCAAACATTTGCAACAACATTTTTGCAACCAGCATAGTTGTTTGCTTGTTCCATGTCATTCTATACACGTATTGTAAGCTCAAAATTAACGTGGCACTTAAAACCATGCTGATTAAGGTAAACTGCTAATGGGATAAGGCCGGTGAATCACTGATGGTTTCCAGATTTTATTCACGCTAGAGAATTTGGTCAAACAGCTATTTGCAGCCAAAGTCCATCTAAATCTTACAATTAAAGCTTGCCAATATTATAAAAAGGACAACAAACATAAGAAAACATAACTATATAGTAAACAAGACATCGACAAGCCTTAATATTGTATCCTATGCTTACATATGCTTAAGGATTCGGAATACTTTAAGATATATTGGTTTCTTAGGTGATGAGTATCTTTGTTTGTGCTTGAACCCTGAACATGGCTCTTAAAAGCATATGAACTCCCTAACAACAGTTCTAAAAAGATCTTGAATTCCCTCACTGAAATATTTACACAGGAAACATAAAAAAAAAAACAAACAAAAAAAAAAAACAAATCTCCTTCTTGCTTCCCTACAGTTTTCTTCTCCCTGCCGTTTTACTACACTACACAATTCAGGGCTTGTTAGCCACATTAGCCAGCCGTGTTTGGGCACTTAAACAAGCCAAAGAAACCCAGCAGAGTCTCAGACTTTCCTCAAGCTGTGAATGGAATAGCTTTGCAATTTGTCCTGGCAGAAAACAACATTTTGATCCTAATGAATGGCAAATGGCCACCATTAGAAGTGAGAGGGATTATTGGAAGGGGGTAGTTTATGGCACATGCGTCCATGCCTGCACGTTTGTTTGCCCACTCAGAATGGTCTGCTCTGATCTTTCATTAAAAGGCTCGCTACAGGGCCTCTTCTTGAGACCCTTAAACAGATAGGTCCCAATTTAGAACTCATTTTTAGAAATCTGCAGCATTCTCACACATTGTTGCACAGATTCATTGCAGGAAGGAACAGTGCGTGTGTACGGTTTCTTGACTAGTCATCTGGTAAACAAAGCAACAAACACAAGCTTCGCATGGCAGCTTGCTCATGTTTGTCCATAATTGTGTGTCCATCCCTCTTCCTGCCTCTGTGTGTTAATGTGCAGCATGTACTAAATATGTCATCTATAGGTTACATGCTTTTTCAGCACACCTGTGCTGTCTTTTGTGGTCAACCACAGCACAGTATCAACTTCCTTCTGAACTGCTTTATCGGAGGTTAGGTGATTGGCTCAAACTTGTCATTTGAAAATGAATGTTTACCTTCCTGCCATTTAGGTATGTATGTTACAGGTCCGGTCTAGGAGAGGGAGACCAGCAGCAGAAGAATGGTCCTGAATAAACAGGAGAAATTATGAGATGGGAAGCAGCATGTTCTGGTTTGATGCAGTTTTTCATTTCAAATTTGTATTCAAAAATACATTTCAATTCACATTTCTGTCCATTTGCATATTATACAACACAATCATGTTTTTATATGTAGAATAACTTTCTATTCTCTTTGTAGTTATCCTTTTAATAAATAATCTAACCTAATTCTATATGTAGAATTAGGTTAGCTTTAACAAACACATATTACCAGAAAATAGTGCTTTATTTAGTTACTTAAGTAACTAAATAAAGTAACTTTATTTAGTTACTTAAGTAACTAAATAAAGTAAATGAGTAACCAAAATAATATTCCCAACTCCCTCAGCTTGGTCTGCTAATAAATCCTTTTTATATTTTACCAAAGCAATAACAAACCATATTGAATGTACAAATGAGACTATTTCTAGTACTACTAGAACCATTTTACTATTAAAACAGTGATATCTGAACGTTACAACAGAGTCCGGGCCTCTACGCTACTAGTATCAGAGGTAAAGTGAGGTTGGAGCGCCGCCATTACACAGCCTCGTCTCAGCTCGTAACGAGAACAGCCTAACCGTTCTACCAACCTCGTTTAACATGAATAAAATCACGCATAAGTTGGCTATAAAGCACTGAAATCATATACAGCCCTACTATGTGTGATTTTGTATTCATTTTATGCAATATTACCTCTGTTAACAGGAAAAATGATGAGATGTGAAGCGGCTTGTTACGGTTTGATGCAGCTTCGCTTCACAGTGCGAACGGAAGCTGCAACAAAAAGATTCCCCCCGCCTGGCGGAACACAGTACACTGCCCCCTTGTGGCGCACTCCACATCCGCACTCACCTGAAGATCAACCAAATAGTACTTGCTAAAATTATTTTTCCTTATAATTGGAATGCTCCTAATAAAGTGTAAATACACTATTCCCAACATTAAACCATCACAATTCCGAACACTAACATTCATCAATAAACTTCAGGATTGAACCTTACCTACATTGGTTAATTTTCTTGTCCAAATACATGAGAGTTCGATGTTCAGACTGCAGTATTTTTGAATAAGCAGTATATAAAGACTGTGAGGAGATTAAACTTCTGATACTGGTTGCTTTTGTATAGTCCATTAATCTGTAACGCTCCTTAACAGACTTGCAGAGTCTGCAATTTCTTTGAACACTGCCCACAATATTATTGAAGTGACCAAGAATTCTGTTGGACAGATTTCATTTACCACTTATTTTCCTGGGTGTTATTGCCAAAAGATTATTAAAGCTCATGCACGTTATTGTCAGAGCAAAGCTACTCCATGCAAGATAAATGGGAGTTTTTTTGTGAGGGCCACACTATATAACCAAGAACATGCAAAGACAAACAGGGGACTTGCAGAACCAAGGTCCTCCAACTTTTTGATGCATTCCTGTCCAAAGTCACCAAATTTAAATGAAGGCCTCGTTACTAGGCTTCTGTAAAGCTTTGTGTCATGTAGAGGAGATAAATCAGCCATGTGATGAAGATTTTTTTTTTCTTTGATCACTTATGCACTTTGTGTCTATCTTAACTGAGGACAACGTTGAAATGGACTGGATTGGTATGTTTACATGTGGGTATACTTTGCACAATGTGGTCTGTTAATCCAGTACAGAAATTAGACACATAGAATGTGCAAAACTTAGAACAAATACTACAGTTTCAGACATTTTCCCTTAATCTGCAATAGTACTGACAAATCCGGAAGAGTTTGGTGCAGCACAGATGTAAACTCTCCCCAACCCCATAATATGTTTTGCTATATGAAAAGGCTTGTTGCAAACAAACACTTTATATGTAATATACTGCGAGTCTCATCACTTTCTTCTCCTTCAGAGCGTCAGCTGATGAAAGGCATCCATTTTCTCATTTGCAGTGGGATGTTCTCTGTCCAATCTTGTAAATTGCTGGAACCATTGTTTTCTTTTTCTCTTTGCTTTTGTTTTATGCCATCTGTACTCCCACCTTTTGTCTGCCTTTCCATCCATCTCCTCTTTGCTCAGCAGAGCTGTGTAACATGGCTAAAAAGGTTTCACACTAAACACAATAGAGTCAACCATAACATACACATTGTTCAGCAGGCTTCTTTTTCTCCAGATATATGTTGCATCACAATGAGTTTCATTGCACTATGAGCATTTTGTTTCAGGATTTTAGATTCATATCTAAAATCACATCATTTTTTTTAATTAACCAAAGATTAAACAAAAATGGAAAAAGCTTTTTGTGCAACAGAAAGAGAGGGTAAGTGGCAGCCAGGTGAACTTAATCAGCTGATGTTAATTTGACTATCTGATTATCATTAGTGTGACAACTTCTATGAAAACAAGAAGGGAAGCTCATTTTCCTCTCATTTTCTAAATGTTAATATTCTGTAAACAAATCACACATCTTTCATCAGAAATAGGGAAGGATTTCTAAGTAAGCAATATTTTAACAAAAAAAATTTAGGGAAACTGAAAATCCAACATTTTTATTGTATGCAACATAGATTATAATGTATTTTTATGAGCTTGTTATCATGGTAGAATAATCCAGTCCAGCTTTGGCAAGACTATATATTGTTCTAATCCTAAAGTGACTCTAATAACAAGGAAATCACTGAAAATCGTCCTATTTTATGTTCTCATTAATAGGACAAATATTTAAAATCTCAAAATTGTATTTTTAAAAGGTAGTAGAATTATCGGGGGTAGGTTCAAATACTGGAAATGTTTTAGATTTTCAGCTTGAATTGTACAATTGCAGATTCCTTCCAAACCACCAAAAAGCCCCTTAGCATCATCAGCAACTAACCATTGGTTTAATTTCACCGCAGAGTCAGCTGTGGCATTCTCACCGCAAACTTAAAGTTTCTACAAATCAAGTTGTACAACTTCCATTGTCTGACCATTCAGCTGAATTAATTTTAAACATCAGATAAAACATGTCCCAAACAAAGGTCGAACTGCTCTTTGCTATAGGTTGGACTCTTTGTGTCACAAAAAGCCAACATAACAAGCCGTTAAAGCTAAATAAAATGTCCTCATTTTAGTAACATTTAACAGCAGAAGGATTTTACATATTTAATTTGAGCCAACTGTAAGCATTTCCCAGCATAAAGTCTGGTTATCTTTGATCAAATCACCTAGCAAAAATACTCAAAGCAACACATGAAACAGGATCTCTTTTATGTTATCATAACCTAGAATGGGCCTAGTTTGCAGATATGCGCTTAAAGGAAGTCTGACAGATGTGTTTGTGTGTGCGGCACTTCTTTCTTCATACTTTCTATGTCTTCTTCGCTCCCCTCCTCCCCTCCTCATGGCCCACAGCCCAGCAGTAATTCTGTGTTTATCAACTCTTTATTATGGCCTCTCGCATCATCATTTACAATGGTAGCATCTGCTCATTGCCTAGCCTGAGCATGGGGCAAATTGCTTTTATAGGAGGGAAAAAAAAAAAAAAAAGCCTGAGCGAGGACAAATACACACACACAGCATGGCCTGCACACAAATCAAGACACAGAGCTCTGGCCTGTTTACAGCGGTTGTTAACTCTCCCGGCAGAATCGCACACAAACACACAAACACTTCACTTGTTCTAACAGGATCAAATGATTAACTGGCCTCCATCAGCAAATCAAAATCAGTCCCCAACCCAATGAGGGAGCTGTTTGGATTTTCCATTTATTTTTTTCTTCCCTTCTACCTGATGCCGCACTGTGGAAAACAAATATCACATCTGGCCTTAGACAGACAATCCCTGTGTTTGGCTTTATCTAATTTAGCCACTACAGCAATGTGGGAAACAGTGGGGAAGCAGAAAATGGCAAGACATCCTGTCTTTTTCTTCGCGTTTAACACATTAGTGCTCCCTAAATGATGGGGATGGAGAGTCAGTGAGGTGAACTTGCAGAGAAGCTAGGCAATTTGGGGAGGAAAAATAATCACAGTGCTCCTTCTAATCATAAAAGGCTTTATTGTGTAGGCAGGAGGAATAGGCATGCATCAGTTTGGTTTTGTACAGATGCTTACATAGGACACACACTGCAGCATAACGTTAAATAGACCGAGGAAAATAGGACGCATGGTGATGTGATGCAAAGCAATACAAGGAGGGAATAGTAAAAGGTTATGCCGTCATCAGATTTTTATCTGTTGTTTCTTTATGGAAACTTTTCAATTTTCAGAGCACCTCCTGGATGAGTCAGTGATGAATTTGTGGAGTAACTTTGGTAACTGCTAGTTGAACACTGTTCAGTGTTTTCTACGCTTGTGTATATTGGCTCTTACTGCGGTTTGCTGGACTCCTAAGAACTAGTTCTTCATTCAGACAGATACCAATGACTTTGTTTCTCTTATGCTCTTGATTTTCATTAAATTGGGGTTTAATGTGTTGCTTTGAGAAATCTGAAAAAGGTTGAGTGGTAGAGCAGTGCACCATAGATGTCACAGCTCTTCCCCATACACACACGTTGAATCCACTTAGCTGTTAAATCTACGTGTTCATAAGTGTTTTATTAGTGCTTAATACTGATTCTTTCTTAAGCAGTAGTGTCATTAAAATGAACCATCTGCAGCATTGTCTTTGATTTGAGCAGGAAGTACAATTTCCACAGCAGATGGAACAGTCTACTTGCAATTTGCACTTGTTTTTAGTACTAGAACATGAACATGCTTCAGAAGAAAAAAATGTTTCATAATGAATATTAATCAAAATTTCTCCCAAATTAATCATGCATCAACTCTCAATATTACCTGCTTCCAGGACATGGAAATTCTTGGCTATGGTGATCATTTCTCATATTAAGTTATGGTGGTAATTTTGGGTGGACTGGATTGATAGGGATCTTATTTTTTTTTTCCTTTATAAGATCAAGTGCTTGAGAAAAAAATAAACCCAGCACTCCACTGCCTGAAAGCCCAGGTACAGCAATTATTCATGTTCTTAAAATCTGCACCACATTAAAGAGGCAATCAAATGAAACTCAATCCAAACACTTTAATAAACATTGAAGAGATATATATAAAAAAAATAAAAAAATAAAAAAGACTACTAATATTACTAATACCTATTTGTAAATTCCACACTTTTTCATGCCCAATATGTTTTGAGCATCTCTTTGATCCTGGGGAATATTTAGTCTCGGACCAGTTCATTAGTGTGACTCACTCTCCTGGAGACAAACTTGGTGTGGAGTTCATCAGCGAGTTCCAGATGGTCAAGCCTTGACTCATAGGGCTTAGTCAGGCTTAGTCCCCAATACCTGTGAGAAACCAAGTTTAGGAAATCCATAATCTAGTCCAGGTGGCAGGCAAGGGCTAATTCCACGACCATAACATAGTCTTTGTAATGTGGATGTAGGTTTTCTCTGTAACAAGAAAAGCAGGAGCTGATGTGTCACATTTGGTTTCATCAACTAGATCGTTAACTCAGTTGCATGCACAGCTTAGTCTCTGGTACCCACCACCTGACAAAGGGTCTGAGCTCTTTTCTTCTTCAGGTTGCAGAACAACTTGAGGTGGAAAATTAGAGGTATAGGTATGTTTAAATTTTATCTATATTCAAAGCAAAAGTTATTGACACTGCTCACATTATGCTATAATTATCCCATCAACATTGTCATTGCACATGTGGCTATAGTATCCAAGGAACTAAGCAGGCAATTTTCTATGATATTCTGGTGCATTTTAAACCGAACCACACTCACAGAGAGAGATTTGTTCATCCCAAGGAAAAAAAAAACAACAACTAAACTGATACACACTGGTGTGGTTTATGCAATCCAGCGCAGTGAGGAATGCTCAAACCTCTGCGCTGAAGAAACTAAACAGTCACATAAATGGATGGCACATC